TTGCCGTGCATCGAATATTGATTCTTAAAATGGACAAACCTCCGAATTCCGTTAATGATCCGGAAAGTGAAAAATTTCGGTTAAAAACATGACCCATGTACAGGATGGCGTAGCGGAGCCGCCACTCGATCTTTGCATTGTAACGACCGGCTGAATGACATTGTATAGGCCTCTGGCGATTTGTAAAGGACGACGGTAAAATGTCAAATACATAAAGTGCGTGCATGTGAGAGAAAGAACTTCTGATAAACCCTACTTCACGATTCCACGGTTCGCTTCTCGTCAAACGAAAAGCATGCGTGCCGATGGATGGGCAAGCTGAGATATCTAGACAGGACCATCAATTTCATTTATCATTACATTAGTCCAGTTTCTAGTCATTTCTATTCATTTTTGAGGGAGAGATGTATAATGAACGACCTAGGAGAACAACCATGCAACAGTAAAATGAAATCTACGAGGTTTTAGTGTTACCTTATCCAAACCTCGTCTGTCACTCCAATGTACATTACCTCGATGCGAAGGTTACTGCAGCCGTATTGAAATCTCTCAAATTAAATGAATGTGTCAGGCTTAGTGACCTTTAAAAAAAAATAGATGTTTGTTTATGTAGAAGTTGTCTGGCAATCAATTTGGGATGCTTTGATGATCTTCCGTCATCTTTGTCCAGAATCCTCAATCAAATATTCCAAATTTTAATCAAAAACCTCCAGTATGTCTCACTCCTAAAATGAACATGGGTTTATATTATAAGGAAGACACAAATAAACATTCTTCAACGCTCCTGGGGAAAATAATTTATTATGAAGAATGATATATGCATCTGCACGGAAATAATAACTCTAGCCGTGTGTTGCGCGGGGAGTGAGCACGTAGATACAACACAATTGGGATATTAGTCACGACTGTCAACCCAATATCTCTTGTAATTGCTTGATACAATTATTATGCCCTTCGGGCATCGGGTCTTGGAAAATAAAAACAAGTCCATGTTATTCTTTATATGTTCCCTGATCTTGTCTTCATGTTGGCCAAGTTTATGCCATCCCAAGCCACTCTTTCAACAAACTTACCCAGAGGATCGACAGAGCACCTCGCTGGTTCAGACTTTAGGCCTAAGCTGTAGGTCCCAGGCGCGGTTCTAGAGCCAATATTTTTTTTGGGGGGGGGGGGGGCTAGCAAGGTGGATCCAGATTTTTTTCAGGGAGGCGTACTGAAATGTAGACCGGTTATTTTCTCCGGACATTTAGGCCTCTGAAAATCAATATGTGGCGGGGGGGGGGGGGGGGGGGGCTCGTGCCAATATTTTCAATGGAGAGCGCTGATAAAATCCTACAATCAGGCACACTATATTAACTAAAAGTGTACAAATGCACCCTTCTCATTAAGGGGGAGATCGTTCCCATGTAGCCAAATTCTTACATTTTGCTAGTGCATTTTTTTTATGGATTTTTTTTTGGGGGGGGGGCTAGACAAAAAATGGGGGGGGGGGCTAAAGCCCCTCTAGCCCCCCCCCAGCCCCCCCCCCCCCTAGAACCGCCACTGGTAAGTCCCGATCATTTCGTGTTCAGAACCTGCAAACGTTCTAGTCATTTATGTTTTACATCGTTAATATAAGAACAATGTGCAGAGAGTGAAACCCACTTACAATGAAAAAGTATCTGCTTGTTACCAAATTCCAGGAAGGGGCTTCAAGATAAGCTTTAATTAAACTGAAATGCTTTCAGATTGTACGATGGTTGATTGACACTCCTCCGTTCCCCTGAATATTGATCCTTAATTCCATAAATGAAAACAATACAGAAATTGCGGAGAGGCCCACTCGCATATGTTATCTTGTACCAACGTTTGACTTGGTACAGTCACTGTCAGGTATGATTTGTGCTGCAAGCAGGCCTCGACCATGTCGATGATTTCCTCAGTCTCCGGAACTCAGAGGGGACACCCACCCTTAATATGATTGGCAAGCCCGACCAATCTTCAATTCAATTCCCAATACATTCTCATGAGTTATCCGCGGTACAGTGTCCATAAATAGCCAAGATAAAATCGCGTATGTAATGTGTTGATAACAGCTGCAATATGTTTTACATTAGTATTTTTGTCTCCTCTTGTCCGATTCGTCTCCAATTAGGATTTTCACCATGTCAATCAGCGTTTCTCATACGCTTGGGATTAGAGAGCACCGTTGAGACATAACAGGTTAATCCAAAGCCTTAGATTCCATGAAGATCTGATTAAGCCGACATGGTGCATGTTGAAAGCCAGATTCCTATCTTTGGAATTTGATCAAATTGTTTTGTACATGTATCATTTATGTTCGGTAGTTTTTTTCTTCCTAGATGTCTCTCCCACGCAGTCGTACCATTATGATTTCCAACCAGTAGCTTTTAGGGAAAAGACAGTAAAATTCCCGACGTGAAGTCAATTTATAAGTATCAGGTGAAACCAAATTTTGCAATAATTTACGAAACATGTCATTTTAACTGTCATATTTCGCTGAGGGTTATTCGATTGCAGGGTAAATACGTGCTTCATTGCAGTATCGCACAGAATAGTCCCGTCTTGTTTCCCATGCACGAGAAAAACCTGGCTCGGATGAAGTCTGTAGTTGAAATATAAATGATTTGAGAGAAATGTTAAGGGGTCCAGTCGACTGATGAAGACGATAACCAATTATGAGTGGACTACATTTCCTGTGTCCGTGCGTGTTGCTATGGCTCTGGACAATGCCCGGATGCCATGGCAGCAGCTGGACACTCGGATCCGTTGCTATGGCACCGTAATTTGCTGGACAGCACGGATCGATAAGAAACTACCCTCGAGTGGTACAAACGCGTTAGCGAAATGACCCGAGGTATAATTCAATATTTTTGTCTGTTTGTTGTTAGACGAAGCAACAGTAGTGTCTTCAGGAAAAATTAAAAGAAATGTTTTGAACATCTTAATTTTGAAGAAGCTTGAAATTTAACATCTAGTTTGCACAACGTTTAATGCTGAGCTAATTGGCCAATAGACAAAGTATATCTAGTTCCTTATTGTCACTCCTAGTTATTATAAAGGCATATGTGAGTTAGACAGCCCGATTGCCGTTTGTGAGTCCCCATCTCATCGCCCCGCCCTTGAAAAAGGATTAAGTGTTTGTTTGTATTTCTCTGCTCAAAGAAAATTCCTCGTGCGTTATAGTGACTGATGAATGTCGTCCTGTGTTTTTGGTCTAAGGTAAACACCGAAAAATCACTTAATCGGCCATTAGTTTTCATCCGGAGATTGAGAGCGCACGGAATATCTGACGTTAATGGAACCCAAATGTCAGGTTTATGGTCCGTGTTTGCCGGGCAGAGACGGAGATCAAACACGGGCCGCTCCGAGTGATGGATCAGCTAGAATGCATCAGGTGCATGCGGGATCATCAGGTGAATTCGTGTAGCTAGTACGGGTCACCCAAACGGCCCAGGCGGGACGATCTTCCCTCCCCTTAGCATCAAACCTTGCCCCTCATCCCTCCCGATCCGGGAACCTATTAAAGATAGAATACTCTAATGGAGGTCCCACACGACCAAAGCATTGATAGCTTCGCATTAACAGTCATATCCAGCCTTTCCTTTGCATTATTAAACCGAGGAGCTGACTTTCTTAGACAGGTTCACGCTTTTGATGTAACACGCGACGCCAAAATGATGCATGTGCAATGCCCACTATTGATGGCGTCCGAGTGAGAATAACTTACACGCCACGGGCAGAAGTGATTGGGTGTCAACTCACCATGAGAGGATATTTGGCACTTTTGCAGGCACGCTATTTCCTTCAATATCCTCGTCCGTTGCAGAATTGTTTCTAACAACGTTGGTTCATCTTAGTACGGGTGTACTTTTAATCGGAAAGTACAAGGTGTGTCGCACTTCACAGCGAAATTGTTTTTTTTTCCAATTCATTTGATGCATGAAGACTTGCAGGAGAAGACATCGCACTGAGAAATGGACAATATTAAAGGACTCAAAAAGGAAGGATTTTTTTTGTAATGTTTTATGATCAATGCATGACTTTAAAACGCCCCATCTTCTAATTTGAAATCGAAATTTGATTATAATGATGAAGATAACTAAGACTTAGCTGAAATGTTGTTAGTCCTTCTTTTTTAATTTACCAAATAATGAAGTGTGCAAAAACTGTAGGGAAAAAGTGCTTTCATTTGGAAATGATGTGACGGGAAGCATTTCGGAATTGTCGATCAGTCATCTCTATACTGATATTCACCTTGTTTTTCGTTGAAAGAATTAAATAATTAAAACATAGGATCAGGAACAAATGATGAATTTGCTTTTTTATCACCCATGTATAATTATTATACTAAACCTCAGACATCCAAGTGACCTATACAAGATATATTTATACAAAGCTAAATGTAAGACGAAACGGCATGTTCAAACTCAAATATCATGGCTTTTTTATGCCTAACCATTTTGATTTATTTCATCCAACAACACCGGTTCTTTTCTTGTTTTGTTCCAATATTCATTTCATTTTCCTACAGACATATTTCATTGTTAGTTTCACTCTTTTGTTCCCTGTATATTGTAATGTGTGTTTCGCCCATGTTTGTAAAAAAGTTGCAAAGCAAGTAATATTTATCAAGCGAATACGGTGGTGCTTAGTGATTTTCACAGACGCTTTTAATGCAGTGTTTTTCGTTTGCCCCTCGCCTTTTTGACGCTGCATAATGTCTGAAATTTTGCCTCAAAAATGCATTTTTAATCTGATTAAGTGGCCGTTTCGTGTCGACAATCGAGCCATGTCTTGATGGCTATTTTTAGATGCCTCGACGGACGAACAATGAAATTACAAGCATTCCCTTCCGAAATTCCCCCAGAGGAATTATTGCGGCTGCCGCGCTATGACTGTTATAAGATTCCAAATAATTTAGGAGTAACCAAATTAGCATTGTATTTAGAATGCCGCAGTTTGGTTTAAATATTCTCGGAATGTTCTTTTGCAGGTTGCGTGATATTGCATACCTGGTACTACCCGTTCTCGCAATCATCAACGATATGCACCTTCACCTACGGTGGCAAGTCGCAAGGCAGAGGCAACCAACTGGCAATTATGACACCTGTTTCCCCGCATCTCGCCCATTATTCAAAGGTAATCAAGCTCAAAGCAAAGCATTATGACTGGTTCGCTGGAGAAACTAAATTAAATGAATTTGGAATAGGAGGCGTCAAAGCACGGCCTGATCATCATTGGCACATGTCGAATGCCTTGTTTGGCGACCGTTCGGAATCATAAAGAGCTGTCAAATTAAGCGAGCTCAATATTGCTGGCCTATTTATAAAGCCTCATAACGCTGGGTCAGAAAAATGTCTGATGGAGCTCCACGTTTTTGTTTCTTAAATCTGCTACACCCTAAACAAAATGGCGGATTCTTCATCAACATTGGTAAAAATATCAACTGCCTGCACGTTTGGGCCAGAATATTCCCAATGTTGTTAAAACTTTTAACTATCAAACAATCGAGGCGATTCGTCGGAATGTATAGCGCGTGCCATTTTTTTTTTATTTGCATCGCCAAATGTAAGAACATCGGGTGATACAATGCTAAAAACAGATCCATCAAATACATAAGTACGTTACTTAATGAATTGGTTTGTTGACATCTGACATGCACCAATTCTTTATAGAGATTTTTTATTCATGTCATTCTATTTCGAGTGTCGTCAACGCTCTTTAAAGTATAATTTTTTTAATTTGGTATTTTTGAAGCAGCTGTGAAAAGTCAGTTTTGTCAATTTTAATTTCGACTTTCATTATAGAGTCCAGTATTACAATAACAAACACCACTAAAGGGCTGATACATCACAGTAATTAGACCGTCCAAAGTAAATGGGTCCTTCGCTTCATTCCGCAGCAAACTCGCTTCCCAATGCATCTATTAAGATATGCTGGCATAATCAAAATTAGCCTTGGGCCCATCCCTTTGGGTCATCGGTCTTGTTGCGTGCCGCCTCAATGTCTGTGCTTGACTGTGATTCTAACCCAGATCGAAAAAACCCAGGTCCAATAACAAACTGGATATTAATAAAATCACACTGACAACTGGCGTATCTTCTTGCAGACAAAATAGCATTCATCATATTTTATTTCTTTTTGTGCTTTTTGATACGTGATATTCCATCAATCAGTTGTACATTACATCCCATGTATATTTCAAATGACTATTTGGTAGTTTTTAATCAAGACGACAAAATGTCTTCTCATAATCGTAAGGCGTACATTACACACTATTTATTTTCATGGCAGTATTAACTTCACCTTATCAGGGCATTTACAATCCTGACCCATACCGAGTACATTAGAGTCAAATTGCACAAAAGCGGATTTTAGCTGGTCCCCAGAGCGGGTGGAGTCTAAAGTCCTATCTCTACTTCACTGGCTCACCGACTCATTGTCACTAAGTGCTATCGTACCGGATTACCCGTAACGCCATTGACTAGGCTCAATCCGGCTCATATACATGAGAAGACTTCCAGTGAACAGCCATTGTGAATCAATTGAATGGAATTGTATGCCCTCTGGGAGCAGCTCTACTGGCTTGTGTAACAAACAGAACAACAAAAGACTTCCATTTAAAAAGATTACCAGATCAATTAATTTCAACTTGAGCAATTTTTGTAAATTTACACTTCGCTATATACATACACGTACATGTTAAGTAGGAAAATAAATGTGCTGGTGCAATATATACTTACTTTACTTTATTACACTCTTTTCGTCCAATCGAGAATATATCATACAACATTAACACAAACTTCACCAAAGCTTTGTACAACCCTTATAATTAAAAAAATGACTTGGTATACTGTTTATGGTTAACATTGCACAAACTGTTGTACATCTGTACAAAAAATAAAAGTTTTGAAAGAGAAAAATCAAATAGGCCTACGTAGATAAAGGAGGGCAACATTTGCGCCGAGTTGAGGCTAGAAATCTGTTTCTTCATCATTTTCGAAAATGTTTGGCAAATTAAAAGAAAAAAAATGTAAAAAAAGGGTAAAATCCTGTCCAATTCTTCTTTTTTTGTGTGGTCCTATAGCACATAGAACCGTACCCAGACTTATCATTCTGTTGAATCCTGTAATCCTTGGCTATTCGAATTGATGATACATCAGGACAACAGGATGAAAAATCTCATCGTTCTTATTCTAATGTTCTTCATACTCTTACCCTGTATCCTGCAATATTCCTTAGGCCTATATTAACTCAATGTTTTCTCACTTATATTATGCTTCAATCTTTTAGCTTGGTATAAACCAAACAGGGTGCACTCAAACTGTAAATGGATGGCCTCTCAACACCTCAAACCTTGTTAAACCTCATCTCCTTAATGAGAAAAGATGGCATTTTATTGAAATGTAGCCTGTTGAGATTAACTCGTCTGGCCTTGGTTGCCATTCCCTGATGTGATAAGGTGAAGTATCGCTCGAGAGTGAGCGAGGAACAAGCGGTCGATACGCAGCGCGCGTATGGTTGACCAGGCCTAGCCTTGGGCGTCAACGGCCATTTTAATAATTATCTGCTATAGCACTGTTAACTCGCTTTTTGGTATCTTTCACATTACATAGAACTAATGTAGTAACACATTTGACATGATAATGAAAGCAGCTGGCGCATGTATTACTTGCCGTAAGCACATTCTGTGAAATGGCAAATTGTAAAATGTTGCCATTTGTGAGATGTACCCCACTGTCGCCATATGATCAAAAGAGTTTATTTCACTCCGAGCATTGCTCTAAGCTCTGATATATATATAAAAACCAAAATAAATTGTCCACCACAAGAAAATACTGCGTTACCACTTGGTCACGATATACCAATAAAGTTAAACCAATCTTGTCAATGTACAGCCAATCTCAAAATGCACACTGTTTTTGGAAGTCGAATAATGTTCGACATAAATATCATAATATTTTAACATTTGAAATTTACATTTTCATTACAAATCAGTCTCAACATTTTGTACAGTCGACTTCGTTAATTTCACAGTGACATTCACCAATAAATGAAGTACTTGTTGGTAAACTTGTCCATTTTACAAGTGGAGTACAATTATGCGGTCATAGTTGTAGCAATTAAATTAAAGACAGATGTAAAGAACACAATTAAAAAAACCACTTGTACCATTAATTTGTTACATTTGAGAAAGTTGGTTTCATAAGATGTGCGTCAGAAATATGTGGAAAAAAAATGTTCCAATCATTTTGTTAATGGGCCTACAATACAAAACTAATAGTGTGCAAAAGTGCAGTTCTTATAATAAACTCTATAACAGAGCGTCCTTATGTAAAGTACACGGACAGTTCGTGCTGTGAAATTAATTTTGGAGTGCTTTTGTTTCTGTTGAAATGTCTCCTTTTTTTCCCTGCGAGACTCGTGCAGCATGAGTCGCTGATGCCATTTGTATGTTTACCCGCCTGTAGGCACCACTTCACTTAAATCAATCCTTGCTTAACTGCGTGTACAAAAATGATCACACTGCGTGAGTGCAAGTGTTGTGATGTCGAGGTTTTTTTCGGTTTCAAAATGTTTACTGATCACTTTATTCAATATCAAAAGCAAAGACAAGTCTTCAGACTTCATTAAGACCGAAGCCTTCAATGTGCGGTCACACGTAGAGACAAAAAGCCTGGCGGTAATTTCATTGACATCTAGAGTGTCGCTTGTCGACATTCACGCCTGAAATCTAGGAAACTCATGCAATATCACGGGGCGCAAAGATTAGAAAACTGCATTACTTTTAGAACACATCAACTTTTCAGACGATGGTCCTCTTTCCTTTATAATTTTCAACATTCATTATTATTTTTTTTATTGAGCGTTATATTTTACCATGGTAGCCCGAACAGTTGTCAAACGACTGTTCTCCCTGGGGGCCCAAGTAAAAACGTAGTGAACAAAAAGTAGTAACGCTTCCCACTGACCGTGTCTTTAATACAACATGGTTTTTTTTTTATAATGACGAGTTTATTCTTTGCGTCTTTACTGGTGAATGATTTGGTGAAGTATATACAGCACCTCCTAGGTATGCATTATATTTCACAAGCAGAACTGTGAGTTGCGATAGACAAATGTACAACATATGGGTTTGGCCAATATTACAATAAGCAAGACAGTTTTACAATACATACTTCAACAATGTCTCTTTTTTTTTCTTCTTTCTTTTTAAAATCTCTTTCCCCATCATTCACCGTAATTGATTCTGCCTCTTTGACTACGAACCAAAAACCATTTCATCCGGCAGGGATAATTGCAATATTTTTCACCGTTGGAAGTGGATGAAGCTTATAATAATCCATCCTGGACAGGTAATGCAACAGTGTCCTTGTATGTCTTCACCTAGTCCGTGTTTGTCTGGGTGTGTCCAGTCTATAGTCAGTCATCCGCAGATGTCCGTGTCACGCAGGTGTACCGATAACCTCCGACAGAAACAACTCGGGTGCAATTAACATTACACGCGACGCCACGCGTGCTCCGTACAAATCCAGGCATGTCAATTTTCAGAGACTCTTGCGCCAATTTCACAGGGTTGTTGGCGGGCAAGTTATTTGGGGACGCAGCAACCGGAAACTAGTGGATGGGTGATGAAGAGTTGATCAAAAGTGAGGCTTGGGTTGATGTTAAAGGGGAAGCGATGTTCGCAGTGGAGGTGGTGATAGTTGTGGGGTGGGGTGATAGTGTAACAGAGATGTGGTAACATTGTACACCGTGATTCAACGTACGCAGTATATTGCATTGGTGTAATACCAAGTTATTGTGCAAAACAGACCACTGATAATGCTGCACTCGATCCAGATTGTTGTTTTTATCAGTATTACCGAATGAGTTTACACTAAAAGTTCTTTTATATATACCGAATCACTCTGAGCACATTTCGTGTCAATTTTGGACCTGATTTACATGCTAGATTATGCAAAATGGAATCATCGGTTTGCGTCAGCAGAAAGACAATTTTGACTAATTAAACGATAGTTAGAGGAACTTCCGTGAGTGAAAACAATAATTGAAACATGAAACGTAACAAGGCCGAATCTTTAGAGATTAATTTTAATGCTTTTATTTGGAGTTAATGCAGTGATTGACAGTATGCCTATAGCGCCAGCATCATATGCAACAGATTCATTTTGGTTTCACTCATGTTGCGGCGTTGAGTATACAAAGCAAAAAATAATCATCAATCGTAGTATTGTATGCTGCATGCTGCCGAAACAAAAATACAAGCGATAGCCTACATCGACTTGTGGGTACTAATCCTCCCTTGCCCGGATTTGTCCAGAGCACGATGTTTAGCGCTTCGCGCCGAAGAAACAAATCTGGCGAGAATTATCGACACCGCCTAGAGCATGCCGTAGGGAAATCCGTGGGAGCAGCCGCGAAAACTGAAAGAAAAAAGCAGACGGATTCAAAATCGGATGAGGGAACGTGTCTTTGCCGATACTGTGCACTCGCTTGCAGGTCTGACGTGGTTTATTCCCACAAAGCTGGCGGATTTTCCCCGTTAGTTTGAGACCTAAGTTGTCGATAAGTACTGCGCCACCATTGGAATTATGGCAGTAATGCGCAGAGTGCACGATCTCCTTGTAAAAGAAAATACCTTTGGCTTGAATCTGACTAGATATTCAGTTTCAACAGGCAAAGAGTAGCTATCAACTCTCGAATGTTTGCGCGCCAAGTTCTTTGTCCTCGGTGCTGGAAATACTCGCCTCAGATAATCTCTCCAAACAGGCTCGAATTTCTGTTTGTTATTTTATCAATTGTCACGAATGTTTTCGTGGTCGTGGCTCAACAACATCTGCCTCGCTTTCGCTTCTTCCTAGTCGAGTATTGTGTTCCATTTTCCCATCGACAACTCAAAGGAGAATATCTTCTGCGTGCGATTGTGTCGGAGACAATTCGACATACGCTTTTACCGAATCATTCTTTGTAGCAGTAGTGCATAACGGTGTACGAAAATTCAAAAATAGAGAAGTTCATTATGATGCTTTTAGTTGGGAAGAACGCCTGCGGTTTCTTAATAAAGAACGGATCTCCCACTAGAGATATCTGTTGCTACAGAATGAGCGCCTGTTACGTACTTTTTATGACGTTACATTGCTTGTGCAACAAAACCGAAAACTGCCTAAAACCTCCGCCGAGTTGACACCCTATTTTCATGTCTTTTCCTGTAGCATGCGATTCGGGTTATTTTCCACACGACCAGCCTTTAATGTTTCTTAGCCGCCAATAACATGTCAGTGCGCTCAAAAGAGCGATAACCACTGCTGGCCTGGCGCATGTCTCGCCATCTCGGAATCAGAAAGATGAAGTACGAAAGAGCCACAAGACCAAAAGGCAGGCGAACACAGTGTTTCCTTGCTCTTTGACCGAACACCCTGCCTGATTTCTGTGAGTTTTAAATGCAATTATTTCCTCATAAGGTCGGGACAGGTACGCCATCAGAGAGAATTATTGAGACTGATCTACTCTGCCTCGTCCCTCACCGTGTCTGCCGCTGTGTTTTAATCTTTAATAGTTGCTCCCGGCGGACGAAGAAACAAGAAATGAGGTTGGCCGGCCCAGCTAGCACATCAGCAAGGGAATCACAGAACCTCATGCTGCGTCATTGAAATTTTAATACGGCACTCGCGCGTCCGGGAACTCTTATCAGATTTATCAAGACGGAGTCCGGATTTATTAGAGAAGAAATAATAGGGATAACAGCCTAGAAGATATCGTATGGCGCGGGTAACCTAACACCGTTGTTGAGTTTCTTTAGGTAAATGCTAAGGACGGTCCATGAATGAGACTCGGGTCGAATCAGACGGAAGTGGGTGGGACAAAACAACAACATTTGGTTTCTTCTGAAAACGTTCATAATTTAAGCTCTATAAAAGTAGAACGCCATCATTACCTTATAAATCAGTATTCGGGTTAATTTCTTGTTCCCAGTCACCCCTATCTGATCTTTTCACACAAAATGGGCAATTGTTGCCTAATATTTTGGCTAATATTGTCAAAATATGAATTGCCTACCCAGTGGCAATATGCTCTCAAAATTAGCAAACTTTTACTTGAATTTACCGAAACTTCAGGTAATCTCATACCAATTGTTGCGCAAAGTAACATAATAAATCATTTAGACCATAGGGTTTTTTTTACTTGTATATTTCACGTCGGTCCATTCAGCAACGATTTACTGCAGTTTTATTCATTTTCATTTTGAATAATTGTTTTCACTATTTTGGGTTTTGTTTTAATAATTTCGAAATTGTAACCACATTTTGTTTTATTACAGTCAGAAAATTTTGAATTTATGCCACTCGGCGTGATCACTTGAACACCTCCATGTTGGGAATGAAACAAATAGTCCTTTAGCGTACCACAAAGGATGCTATCCTTGGTGCGCTTCTGGAAAGCTGTATGATTACAATAGAATCAATACATGATGGATGCAGGTGACGAAAACTACTCTGATAAATGATTTAATGGATGGATGGCCTCTGTTGGCCCTCTCTCACTGATGAGTGCATTGAAAGACGACGATTAACTTCTATGCTTACCAAGCGCCAAGGCTATTGTAGACTAGACAGTCCACGTCGGAAATGAAAAACGGCAGAGTTTAGAACTCAAGGGAGACCAAAATTAGACACGTTATTGCTGGAAAAAGTGTCTCGTGCTGACGATTATGCATGCTTCGAGTTTGTTCTTGTATTTTACTTCCGATATTTGGCATGACTTTAAACACATTAATTTGTATTCAAAGGCTAATTAGGTAAGTGCCTTTCTATCAACGGCAATTACCAAAATGTTCAATCGGCTTTCGTCAACGAGGGCTCACAGCAAAGCGTCTGCAACGAAACGCTCAACGCCGTGTTAACGCTGCGGGCGCAGATAGAATGAAACATAATTGATTCTGACAATACCTCTTTAATGCAATGCAAAAAGAATGCGCTAAAGGTGAGCCTATAGCTCAAACACTTCTCGGATTTCGTCGGATCGAGCGCGGGGATCCGTTCGTCCGTCATCAGTCATTCAGAGATGTCATCAGTTCCATTATGTCAAGTTATAATGCAGTCCCGTATGGCAGGTCATAATATAATGGTTTTGTTGTGTTTTTGTATGTTAAGTTCCAGAGATGAATGGAAAAATTGGTATTACCTTTTCTACTTCACTGAAAACGAACCTTTAAAGGTTCGACAGGTATTTGTAGTCATAGAGACAACAGGTAGAATCTGGCAAAGCCAAAGCGTTGACTGTTAGTAGGTCTAATAAATAAGTCTGTGGAGGTGATCAGGTGATTGGTTGGGTTTGCTCTTCGGCCACGTTACTTAGCTAGTTGAAATTCAAAAATAAGATCAGTAACAATACCTTCTTTCCGACAGAATGGTTGCATGGCATAGGGATTGGATGTGGTTTGATTAGTGTAGCTTGGCCAATCTAGCAGCCGTTCCTTGTTCAGTGTGAGTGTGAATTTGACTGGGAGTGAGAAACTTCCTTCTTGAACTTGGGTTCTTGGCTCTCCCCTCGCAGGTGGCTGAGCTGGACGGTAGACGGGGTCTTGGACTCGTGTCGTCGGTCCTGCTTCTTGCTGAAAGCCCGCATGAAGGCCTGGCGGTACCTGGGGTTGGTGATGTTGTAAATAATGGGATTGACGGCTGAATTCAAGTACATCATAACGCGGCAGAATTGAGTCCAGGGCCTTCCAGTTTCGAGGAAAGTATCATTGGTAACCATAGCCCAGAGTGATGTCAGTTCGAATGGGGCCAGGCATAGGAAGAACATTGTTCCGTTAGCGATCAGCATTCGACTGACTCGGTCTCTCATCTCGGTCTTACGCTCCCTGGAATTATGGCGGCTGGTCTTTGAGACTCGGTCGTTGAGGGCGCGGAATATACAGACGTAGATGATGACGTTACCGGAGAGGGCCACCAGGAATGGTAGAGCTTGAAGCCCGTCGGTAACGAAGGCTACCCAGCTTGCATGAGCTACCGGTACGCAGGTCTTTCTGGAATGTGGATTGTGGAGAATATCGGAGAGATTCGCATTGGGTGCCCATATGTCAGCCTTGTAGTACGTTTTCTTGGATAGCGCGGACTTGGCCGGTATCAGTAGCGTTGCGATCACGCAGCACGCTAACCACGCACCAGAGATGAGCTTCAGTGCTCGCTGCTTACTATTCAGTTTATAATCATGCGGTCTGCAGACGGCGTAGAAGCGCCCCACAGACACCAGCGTGACTAGCGTGATGGACGTGAAGTAGCACCAGCCTTTCGTGAAGGAGATCAGCATACAGCCGGAAATGCCTTTCGATCCCTCGTCGTAGACATCGGGTCGGCTGATGTGCATACCGAGTTTCTCCCCGATGGCCACGCACAGGAACACGATGTCTGCCACGGCCAGATTGATCAAGTAAAAATTCACGACAGTCCGCATCCAGCGAACTCGAAACACCACGAAGAGAAACGCCATGTTACCCGCGAGTCCGATAGCTAAGATGATGGGCATTATACGAGTGATTAGGATTAGTTCAGATGGGTGATATAACACTTCATCAAGATTCAACCAATCAGTCGTATCAGGGAGACCATCTGGGAAAGCCACCCAATCGGAATAGTTGAGGGTATCCCAATACAGGGTTCCATTCTGCAGGTACTCTTTGGACCGCATTGGGCCGGAGCCTTCCGAAGTCATCTCGATTGTATTACCGACAAACAACAAGCCGAAGTGAAGCAGCGAGAAGTTTAGATCAGCATCGTCGGTCCGATCACTCCACGCTAATGCACGATTTCTGTTTGCCTTGTTGAGCTCCGTTGCCGGCTTGATAATGTGTCACGCGGCAACTAGATTTCGGCCCAAGAAATCGAGAGAAGCAGAATATCGCGTCTGATGTCAACGCGGTCTGTGAGGCGAATGATGCAAACGAGACAACATTTGCTCCGAAGTGTTCGGGACGAGGCTGTTTACCCAACTGTTAAAACTCGTGGCCGGTTGCGTTGCTGCATTATAGCAAACACGAGTCGAGCCCGCGATGTGTGCAGCATCACGACAGTGCATCAATCAACACAATGTGACCAAAACACGTAGAGAGTGTATTGTAATCTAAACTAGCCAACCAGCGACTCGCCTCGTAACGTCAGACTTTTTTGTCAGATGCTCATCGTCAGCCACTGTCCTGTGCCGTTAATCCCGCCCACCGAACTCACCCCAAAACTCGTCGAGGATAGATGCATCCAGCGCAACTGGCTGAATAATGCAATTTGCGTCGAAAATGTGGCCTCGATGGGACTGCATGGCGCGGGAACGTCCTTTTAATTATGAAAGTCGTAGTCGATCAAGGCGTGATGTTCACTCGCGGAGTGTACCATCGATAGATGAGAGGGTGATATTGTGGAGAGGGTGGGCATTAAGTGTGAAGCATACCGAGTCAAATCTTGAACACTAAGAGATCAAGGCTTGTCTTAAGAAAGATACATCATATCTCTCGTAGTGAATCAGGCTGCGGGCTGTTGATATACACGATTTCCAAGTACTGGCTTGTTATACACGGTATGTTGCATGGTGTGTGCTGGATCAACCGGGCGTGCTTAACGGTCAGATGTGACTACGCGACACTGTAATTGGCTGGTATAGATAGAGGCATACTGCGCACAATTTGAAGGAATGATCGGACTAGACACTTGTATTTCTTAGTTTTTTTTATAAGGGTATCAATTCCCACTTATATCCAGTTCTTCAGCACTCTCAGTTTTAGAGGAATCTACATGTATGCCTGGGAATTGCATTATTTTGAATGATTTTTTCGCATCACATTCAACTCTGCAGGATTGGTCAGTTCGAATATTAACAAAAACAGAATAAGTTATGGATAGAAAAATAAGGGGAAGCTTAGACTTCTCAAGGCCCTGGCTCTTTCGGATATTTCACTTAATTGTCTAAGATGAACGTAACTGAATTGTATTGTTATAAACAATTATTAATACAGCTACATGCAATAAAACACAATTAAACTGCTGCTCACTTTTATTTCAAATTCAATTCATAAACAAAACAGAAAGTGAACTGCCACGTAATTTTGAAACGATGGGGAACAATTTTGAAACGGTGTTGTTTATATTGAAATTCTACGAAAGAATTTCACGTCTTCCCGTAAATCGTTGACTCGCTACATCAATCTTCCATCATTACCCCCGGGCCTACTAGTGGGAAGCGTGTATCTAGTATCAGAATGGTATACGTTGAGCAACATTGTAATTTGAATGTTGTCATAATGCGAGCATTTGATAAATTGTTACGTCCCAGTTGCCGGCAAGTAACATATGTCACATATCAGCCTACACGTATGAATTAAACAGTAACTGCACAGTACTCATGGTGTGAAATCTATCGAAATGGTGTGACTGCCGTAGGATATGGCGCGACGTTGGCACCAAAACGGAAAAACCACCTACATCTTATTTTGTCTGAATGTCATTTTTTTTAATTGTGTAAATCAATACCAACAGCTAAAAAAGACACATTACAACAAATGGTATAAAGATTCCATCTTCTTGCATGTAAACTGCATTGTAACCAATATTACTTATAGTTCGTCAATCCGGGTTATTGGGATTTCTACTTCATTAATACTGCCTATAACGGCTGTATACCAAAAGAAAAAAAAACTGTGTAATACCTTTGCTCTTTACAACATATTTAATTTTACCTCTTTTACCACTGCTTATTCATTACGGTTACTGCAGCTTATGAAAATCGTTTTGCATCTGAATTTTCACTTTTGATATTTGATAGTGATTCAGAATCCAAAAGAGATTGTGAGCCTACGCAAACGTACGATCAATTCAGACCTTTGGATGGTGTTTGTCTTATCGTCGTACAATCATTCTAGTTTCCAAAATTATTCTTGCCCTTAAAGTTTGCTGGCATCAGCACCATTATCCTGAATTCCTGATGATATTTGTGATAAATGCCTCGCATTGATTAGGCAAATACAAATGGAACGCGTACAGGCTCATAACTTACCGATATCGTCTACTTAATACGGAGCCACATTATTGATTCCACTCCTTTTTCTGTTTGTCTAGCTGGGCCATCATGGGCGAACGGAATCTTTACTTCCGATACCTAATATTCAGGACATTATTGTATCTGATCAGATATGTTGCAAGTAGGTCTATACCAAGCTCCTTGCACATTCCCCACTGTATAATGTTTAAGTGCATGACATGAGCAATGAGTTAGATTTTGTGTATATTTTTTTCTCTTCGCGGAATCCTAAATGATCACCCGACCGAATGGAGAAGGTAGGGCCGTCCTTGGTTGTTTAGCCAGTGGGTGTCATGTCCGGCACTTGAGGAGGCTAACTGATCCGGGGAAACGCTCTCAATAACGCGGGAAGGTCGCTGCTCTCTGGTGAGCGCGCATTTACATCCCTTGCAAGGCACTGCATCAACATTAAAGCTGGACTAGGCAAACCTGATTTCATGTCGTACATTTGCATTTACATGACGACTGCATTTATGAATTGGAAGCCCTTGTGGACCGCATCAACATTAAAGCTGCACTGGAGAAACCCGATTTCATATCGTACATTTATATATATGAAGACTGAGTTTACGAATTAGAAGCCCTTGTAAGGAACGGCATCAACAAGCTGCACTGGAGAACCTAATTTCATATACATTAAATGAGGACACCTTTCATGAATCGGAAGCCTGTGGCATCAACATTAAAGCTGGACTTGATGATCTGATCTCATCGTACATTTATATGAGGACAGCGTGTGGGAATTGGAAGCCCAAGGGACCGCTTCAACATTAAAGCTGGACGGGATGATTTGATCTGATGTACATGTAGACAGGAAACTGAGAAAGTTTGCCACGTGCTGAACGAAATTCTGAAAGGAGTTATGTCGTTCGTGTGTGTTAAAACATTATGATACAGGCTTTATTTTAAAGTATACGTGTAGGCTATTGGTTTCACCTTCGAAAATACCTCTACAACTATCTTTGACATTTAAACCTTCGGAGTACGATCGGACAACCCCATTGTAAATTCTTCGAGAGGTTGTAAATTGTTTCAGGAAAGTGATAGCCTATCCCGTGGATGTCGTCATCCAGTGATAAATTATTTGAGGATAACTACATTCCACTTTCCAGATGTCATCACTCTGTGATAAATTATCCATGAATATCGACATTCTATAGTCGTTCAATGAAACAAACTTGGATGGCACCTACAGAACTCCGTAGTAATAACTATTTATCGGTAGAGGATTTGCAAATCTTACCTATGAAAAGTTTTCAATTTTTATGAAATTTGTGATTTTTCAGCATTAGCCGGATTTCTGTTTTATAACAAAACCATTAATTTGAAATTAGTTTAAACATTGCATTGTTATATAAAAATTTGGTTCGGTACCGCATTGAAGCATTCCCCTTTGGTCGAACATAGAATATTGATTGGTTTGGCATTATACGAAAGTACGGTTGAATTAAGACTTATAATTTGTTTTTATGTAAATACAAATGTATTTTTATGTACAAAATGCCAGAACACGTATTATAACAGAAATAGTTTTCGGCCCGGCTATCTTAAAGCGTTTTCCTTTCCAATTCAATTCGTCCAGTAAAATTCATTTTGTGCACTTCCAATATTTTATTTCGTCCTTTGTCAAACAATTTCTATTTTAGTTTAATCAGTAACTTCAAACCATGAGCACATATATATTCGTCAAGGAGTATTCGATTTCGTCTCGTCTACGCCGAACCTCGTTATTCACTTAAACAAATTCGTCTTGTGTCTCTCAATTAATCCTAATTTTGTTCAGTTTCGTCATATTTCACTGTGATATAGAAGGCATACAGGCCGCTGGTAAGAATAATGGTCCACTTTTTTGTTTTCTTTTTTTGTCATAATGTTTCTTTTGATTTTGTCTTCTTAAAAATACGTTAGACTCAGTTTTGGGCACACACAAATGTTGCACGGGGAACTAAGCGTAATCGTATATAGTTTTTTTTACATTTTTTATTTCATTTTAACACTTGTTTTATTCGTTTCAAAATGTAAAAGTAATCTATGTTTTGTTGTTCTTGGTAATCTATGTCTTTTGGTAACTGCTGTCTGAGTTAAGTACATCTACTTAGTCTGATCACATCATGCGAACGAATGTGCCAAATTGTGCTCGAGGACACGAGGAAAATGCTCAAGCACACACCAGACTAATTTACTTAACACAAGCTTTAAATCGATTAACATCAGACAAATTTGATCTCTGAATGCTGTCATTCGGCAATAACTGATACCAATTCAATCTGCATTGACGAATATTCTTGACCAAGTACTTAAATAGGTTGACCAAACTTTGAAATTGAATGATAAGTGACTAAATTGATTGTACTGAAAGCATGTGAAATTCCTCTCGGACGAATTTGATGTTAGAATTGGTGAATTGGAAAACGTGTTAAAAACGTTTTAAAATAGCCGGGAAAACCTACAAAATGGGAAAGTTAGGGTATATCAGAGCCTATGGTCAGGCTAAGTTTCTTGTCTTCTTCTTAGAAACACACTTGACGACATGGACGTGATCTCAATATAATGTTTACGAAATGTCCAAGTAAACTCCAATTGAAAGTGGAAACAACACCGAACTGCATGAATGCTAGTATGGTTACATTGCTTCCTTTATGGCAAGAGAAATTGTCATTATCCTGCATAAGCCTCTGAGGGAACAATTTTGTTTGACCCGCTTTCATCATCGTTTCAATAATGACGTGTAGTATAGTGACGGTAATGGTCAGACTTGATGCAGTGTTGATGTCCTCCTATCCCACCCCCGTTGGGTATGTTAACTAGCCTTATGTTTGCATGCATTTATTGGACGAAATGGTGATTTATCTTGTTACCAATGTGTGAAGAGTGTGCAGGGCTTGGCCCCTAATCCTTAGCCCGTAAGTCTACGCACGCACACGCTGCACAACCTCTCCAAGAAGATTATTCTCTTATAAGGAACTGAAACATTGATGAAGGAAATCCAGGAAGCGTGGAAACCCCTAAGGAACTTCCAGATGTCAGGTTTCCTATTCCTCTGAGATGAAAGGGAAAAGCAGAGGTTCTGTTTGCGCTGTGTTTGTGTGCTGGGCCTAATGTGTGTTAATTTGAAGTCGGGAAATAATTGTCAATTCTTTGAACAGTTCGATGTATCATTTGAGTTGTGAGGTGCTTTAGAATA